CATCTTGTGTAGGAAGAAGAACTAGTGGCAACATTAATTTTTTATGTTCATAAAGATGTAGGCTTGGACTATTCATTCTGTGCTCAGAAGGAGCCTTCATAAGGAACTCACTGCTTTTATGCAGATGGATGATGTTTTTTTTTGTTTTCACATTTCCAAAGATGGGATATATATCCCCAAGTTTATATCTTCCATTATACAGTATTTTTGAACTAATTCTGCCAGTATGGATTTTTTTTTATTATTCAAATGCCTTTCATTTTAGAAGACTTTAACTTCTAAATCCAATTGTTGGTCCTGACTAGAACAGTCTCATTCAATCAATAAGAGTTACATAAGGGCTGAGTCCTATTCATGCAGTGATTTATTCTAGTTTGGACTAATAATTGGATTTAGTTGTCAGATTTATCCCACTTGTAAAGGATTTGGCAGTTAGGCTTTTTAACCAATTAAATGTTGCTCTGTTTTAAATATTTAGCACCAGGAATCTATATGCTTTCACTCTTACTCTTTTTCTTTCTTTCTTTCTTTCTTTCTTTCTTTCTTTCTTTCTTTCTTTCTTTCTTTCTTTCTTTCTTTCTTTCTTTCTTTCTTTCTTTCTTCACAGTAATTGATCTTCTTTGTCTTTTGACATTTGGACTGAGTTCACTTCCTGAACATCACTACATGCAATATTGCCTTCAAAGCATTTGCCATGACACTAAGATAAGGTAGGAAAATCAGTTGCAGTTATCACACAAAACAGAGATACAAACACACACACAGAGAGAGAGAGGGGGGGGAGGGAGGGAGGGAGGGAAGTACTGTAAACCACTGAACTTGTTTAAGCTTTGATAATTTCTAGGGGTTGTTTTGTATTACTTTACATCTGTTCAGACCTGAGACGCCGTCAGAGAGGAGAGAGAGATGTATCTCTTTTCCTGAGCTAATTCTCCAGGCAAATTTTTGTCCTTAGGGACTTCTGGAAATATGTAAGAAGATCAGAAAAGTGTTTAGAGGACTACTGGGCTATTGATGTCAAAAGATTTTATGACAGCCATTGAAGCAGTGCAAGGACAACACTAAGATTTCAGTGTTTAAATAAAAAACGAATCAACAAATCTTTCCCCCACCCAAATATTTCCTGAAGATAGTTTTGGCACCAAGTTATTATAATTGTAGTAGTCATTTAAAAGTGGTTAATTGTAATTAGCCTGGCAAGGAGGGGCCAGACTCTCATAAGCCCGAATATTGAAGGAACATTGAATTTTAAGTATATACTGTATACTAATTTTATGTCATTTTTACTCCCCACCTCAATGAATCTTGGACACTGTACTGTAGAAAGTGTGCTGAGAATCCTCTGTGAGCTAGTCCTAACTCCACTCTGTAGAACTATGGTGATCTATACTGCCAGCCCAAAATATTTCACTGTCTGAAACAGAAGAAGAAATAGTGCTGTTGCTCCCTTCTCCCTTGTAAATGTTGCGATCCTAAGGCTGCCTAAGTTATTAGAGCACTTGAGGCAAAAACGATGGCACAAGCTACTCTCGTTGGCAGTAAAAAAACCACAGAAATAATTCAATAACTATCAATGTGCTGCCTTTCTATAAGATCTAATGAATGATGGCTGAAACAGCTGCCTCACTCTGTCTTATGATAGGGCCAGCTGCTGCAACAGTACAAGCAAAAAGATTTGACAGGTGTCACAGGAGAGGGGTAATACCAGAACCTCCTTACTTTCACAAGACAAATATATCTACCATGATGATGATGATGATGATTTGGTACAATAACCTTAAAACTGCAGAGCTGGAAGGGACCCTATGGGCCATTGAGTCCAGCCCTTGTCAAGAAGGCACAGTGCAGGATCAAACTCCCAACCTCTTGCTTGGTTTTCCTTTTGACAAATGATGTCAAAAAGAAAACTGAGTGGCAGTGATTGAAGTTGGAGAGAGAAATACTCCTATGCACAACTTTGGGGGAGGGCTGTAGCACTGTAATGGAGCCTGCTATTGGCCTCCAAGGAGCCCCAAGTTCAGCCTCCGGCGTCTCCATGTAGGGCTGAGAATATACCTGATCTGACTCAGTGTAAGAAAGTTTCCTATGTTCCCGTCTGGGCCCGAGTGCAGTCCTTTTTGACCTTCATGCAGTACAGCATTTCCTATCTTATTTAAAGCATTTAGCAGTAGAATGCTGACAAAAAGTGTGACATCTTTTAGAAAAGTGGAAGCTGGCAAAAATAAATATACAAACTAACTCTAGAGAGAGCCAGAGTGGTGTAACGGATAGAATGATGGATTAAGATTCAGGAGATCTAGGTTCAAATTGCATTCATTCCTTAAATATCTCACATTACTTGAAAACCCTACTAGGATTTTCCTAAGTCAGATGTAAATCAATGGTACAGAAGACCCAGAAATACCCTTGAAAACTCAATAAATGGAAAGTCACTGCCACCAGTAGCTGTCCTGCTGGCAGGCACAAGCATAAGGCCTCAAAATAGAGAGTTCTGGGGGTGAGTGTGGTTCCAAAACTGCTTCATGTCACTAATTGGGGTCAATACTGAACGAACTTCTTGTTATGCACTGCCAAGTCACTTCCAGGTTAAGGCAACCCTAGTAAGATTTTCAAGGTATCTGGAATGTTCTAGGAATTGCTTCCCATTGCCACCCAATGAGCTTCCACATCCAAGTGGAGATTTGAATCCAGGTCCTTTGAGTCCTAGTCGAACACTCCAGCCACTACACCAGACCTGATCTTAGACTGAATTTGGTTCCTCTCTTCAATGGTGGAAAATTTAATGTAGAAAAAAAATTGAAAATCCTGGCAAAAGTGTCCAGACACATGCCTTCTGGGCTTCAGATTACACGGTATATCTGTTTCTTTCCTTCACCAAGCCTCACTGAAGATTGCTCTGCATAATGGTTGTTTTTGTGCTGATTGCATGCTTTTCCCCCCTTCCTTGATTGATTGATTGCTTTGAACTTTGTAAGATGCTTTATATGCACAGAAAGGAAGAAAAACCAGAATAAAAATAAGAAATCAGGTCAGCTTAAGCCAAGTCATACCCAGCCAGGTTTCATTTTCCCTATCCCATTAAAGAACTTGAAGTATTTGTTTCTTGTTATCCTTTCTAAAGAAGTTGTAGTGAAGGAACCACTAGAATCCTGAGCCCTGCTGGGTTCATGGGTTCTGGAGCAGATAGGGAATCTTGTGCACTCATGGAGTCTGTATGTCCGTTATCTAATATTATGCAGTATATCTCCAGCTCATCCCTTTTTTGTATATTCTTCCCAAGACATCCAAAGCAAAGGGCCAATGGCAGCACCACATCTTTCTACTCTTAGGATGCTTCTGATAGTGTGACTGCATAATAGTTGTGAGGAGTGAGAGCCACAAAATCCTATTCCCCTAAGAGGACAACGTCTCTGGGACCCCAGGCCCGCACTTGTAATGAATTATCCCAGCTTTCATTGCACGTGAAGTGGAGCCTTGATTATCAAATACATTTTTGGTTCAATAATCCTCTTTTGGATATGTAGGAGTTTACTGTTATGCTGCAGAGGAGTAATGACAGACCAAACCATCTGTTTAACATTGTGCTGCTACTACTACTGAAAAAAAAACAAAATAAAACAAAAACTTGCTGGTACTTTGACCTTATTGTAGCCCAAGTAGGAGTGGAAGAGAATCCAAAATTCCTGTCAAGTAATGCAGCAGTTTCTTAAATTTACTCTGGGGAAATAGGATGTAACATCAGTAACTGTTGTGATACATTGATAGAACTTCCATTTATATAGATGGTTTTGACTGGAGGTCAAACTAGATGAGACAATCAGCCCCATTTTTAGGCACAGAGTTCTCTGAAGTGATAAAAGATATTTGAATGTCCTACCAGGAGTGTTTCTTACCTCCACATTTTGGAAACTAGTGTGATTGGCCATAAGGAGATAAATATGGACTGTATTTGCAAGTTTGATTGCTCAGGCAAGAGGCTTTAGAAACATTTTCATTCCTGGACGGAAAATGTGATATCACCTTCCACATAGAAGCTCAGAATCTTGTGTAACTTAGCCATGAGCTTGAGGTTTGACATTGGGAAAGATGGAAAAGCCTATGTCTTTATGTATGTATTAAAACATTGCAAATTAGTGAACAAAATCTGTTCCATCAAGTTTAGTCTCACACAATGCCACCTGCTCTTGGAAGCAGAATGCTCTTGGACTCTGTTGGCTTTTACTAGAATATAGAATGGATTTTAAAAAAACATTATATTGTATGGGGCTTAAAAATTCTCTCATACTCATGTGGAAGATTGCATTTTATACTTCTTTATTGCAGCAAAACCAACCAAGAGTCTTGTGATCCTTTGAAGACTAACAAGTTTTATTTAGTATTAACTCTTTTATTGCAGCCTTCTTCAAATTCATGGAGCATAGTGTGAGCAGATACACATTGATACACACCCATGAAGAGGAGTGCACAGGAAATGCAAAAGGTCAAGCATAGTGCAGTGGCCATTGCCTGTTGTTTTCAGACCATGTTATGTTATGTGCCATCAAGTCTGACCTGATTTATAGCAACCTTAATAGGGCTTTCTAGGTAAGTGAGATAGTTAAGGAGTGGTTTTACTAGTGCCCTTCTCCAATGGGTTTCCACAGCTTGCACAGGGATTTGAACCCAGATCTCTTGAATCCTAGTCTGTTACTCTAATCACTATACCATACAACCCTTGGGGATTACAAAAATAAATCCTAATGGGGGTCAATGTGAGTTCTTCAAATGTAATTTCTCCATTCAGTTATATTTGAACAACTCTTAAGGACCACCATTAAGCTACTTAATGTTTTGACATTATACTTAAGGTACTTAACACTTTCTTGTATTTCCTGCTAAACACAAATTTTATATAGTTTTTCCTTGCCAAGTTGTGATACAATTTGTGCAAATTGCAGTTTATTTGACTTATGCATGCATAATTTTCTTAAAATGATACTATCCTCCCCTCTTCTTTCTAGGAGTGACTGGGTAACATCTTACAAAGTTATGGTGAGCAACGATAGTCATGCATGGATCACTGTCAAAAATGGCTCGGGAGACATGGTTAGTAATAGAAAATATAATGTGAAATGACAGAACACATAAAATGCAGGAAACTAGACTATTTTGGTCATGTAATGAGAAACACAAAACACAGATTCTTATAGTTGATCACGTAAAGCAGAATGCATAGGAAAAGAAGTGTGGAAAGGAGAAGGGTTTATTGGCTGAAGAAGCTGAGGGACCAATTTGGATACAACACACAAAAAAGCAGGAGTTAGTTTAGACATTACATGCACACAAACACACACTGTTGGATTCCTCAAAAGCAACTACTTAGGCCTACAATGACTTTAAGGCAGGGATCAGCACTTCCATTGTAGCTGCAAGGAAACAAAGGTCTCAAACTTGAGATTTTGGAGTCAATTGCCATTCCTCAGCCCCCTTAATCAGTCTGGGAGTTGTAGTCAAAAGCGTAATGTTTCTAAGCTAATTTTGTGTCACAGTGACACAAAAGTAAGTAGCCTTATCAGCAAAGGTGGCTGGAAGTAGTACTGCAGCTCTCAGCTCAGTAGGGTTCAGGTGACACAAGGGGCCGGACAGAGTCCCATCCATCACTACAAAGTGACTCACACTGACTAGTTTGCTTGGTCTCAGCTATGCCTTGCATGGATGTTAAGTTGGCCTGCTCACAGTTTACTTGATTCCATCCTGAAACCCCGGCTGCCTCTGTCTGTCCTGAACTATTTACAGATCTCCAAAGCCCCAGGCTCCAGGAATGGTAGTGCATTATGGTAAATTATGGATATGTTTTGGTAAATTATGGATAAATGTATCTTTAAATTATAGATAATGGCAAAAATTAGATCATAGTAACAACCCATTTTTGGCAATGGGATTTGTGTATCTGAAAAACAGTTATATACTCACTATAGATCAGGAGTTGGTAAAGTGTAGTTTGGAGACTGCATGAGGCTCTTCAGCCTCCCAAGGCACTCAAATGCCCCCTAATTTGCTTTTTAAAAATAGTTTTATATGTATTAAAAGCCCCCTCCAATAGGGGTGAAGGTGATTTTGCAATGTTTTGATGCACTCTGCAGCCTGCAGCCCACTTCATTATTATTATTTTGCTAGAAAAGGGAGCAACAATTCTTTTTAGTTAAAAAAAAATAAAGGAAAGTACTCTACATTTGTGTGTGGAGGCACAGAAGTGGGTGTGGCACTCCAAGATGCAGGGACGATCCCTGGTTCTCTAGAGTTTTCCCATTCCACTTACATATCATTCCTTCTTCTTTGTGAAACTCAGACACTGCTCCAAAGTAAACTCAGCTAGCAGCCCTGCTGCATGCAAAACGTCTGCAAACTTTTTTGTAAGGTGGCAGCACATAACTTCCATCACTGTTCAATGTACCAGAATAGACAATTGTGCAAAAAAAAAAACACCTATGCAGGTACTGAGTATAGAGGTCTGAATAGGAAAATATGTCACTAAGCAGTTGCTTGCATGTTGAGCTCCACATAGCTAAGACACCCAGGATCTCATGATTACAGATGCATTGAATACTTGTAGTTTTTCACATCCTTGAAAAAGATGAGAAAGGAGACCAAAATGAAAAAAAAAATAGTGACTTCCTTCCTCCTGCAAAATCAGCAGCTTTGCCAAAAACTCCTAATTGTTTTTATGAAAAAACCCTCTTGTGTTTCATGCAAAAACTGCACTAGCAGTAAAAACCTTGTATTTTGCACAAAATGCAATATTTTGCACAATCTATTTCTGTGAATTTTTCTACAAAAAGCTTCCCCAAATGTGGAACAAAGACCTTTCTCTCACTATATAGTGAAGGTTTTTTTTTTTAAAAAAATCATTTTTGTTCTCCCTTGCAAGAATGAAATAAGTGAAGATTTGCTACCCTAATCTGGACCATATATATGTTGTTCAAATACATACACAACTGCTCATGAGTAGAAGTGGCTTTTCAGACCTCAGAACCATGCTCAACACAGGAGTTCAAGAAAAACCACAAATTTGTTATGCCAGCCTGTGATCAGGAACATGGTTGTGACCCAGTGGCTACATATGAGTGCCCTATGCAAAAGAATCATAGAATCATAGTACAATTGAGTCAGAAAGGGCCTGCTCAATGTAGGACTCCAAATCAAATCATATCTGACAGATGGTTGTCTCTTGAACGCCCCCAGCCTTGGAGCACTCAGCACCTCCTGAGGTAATTGGTTCAATTATCATACTGCTCTAACAGTTAAGAAGTTTCCCCTGATATTCAGCCTAAATTGCTTCTGGGCTGCTGTTCCTACAAATATAAATTTGTGATCGTATGAGCACATATATGTTACAAATAAAAAAATTAGTAATATAGAGAGAAAATTAATATCTGGCCGATTGCATTTACTTTTATTAAGAGTACTGCAGGAAGAAATCATACATGGGGTCAGTTGCATGCAACACATCTGACAATATAAACACCTAAAAGTCTACTGTTAGCAAGTTACAATTTCAGTGATTGCTCTGTAGCTAAAAGTACAGCTATAATCTTGTGAAACTATTTCAAGACTTTGCCTTTTCAACTTCTCTAACACTTTGTAGTGTGATATTTCATTAAAAGCCACAAACACAGCTGAGGCCCTGTGTTGGCTCAGGTTTTGTTTAACAACTGAAGTAAGTAATATGCTACCTAAAAAAAAAAGCCAAGTAGTAGGAAGGGTAGTTTCTCTATCTGAAGTCTGCTCCTGTTTGTTCACCATGCCTCAGAAGAATCAAATAATGCCGCATGGATGCTACAGGATATATACTCCTGATTATACTGTATTCCTAGTTTCTTCTTCCTAAACTATGATCTAATGCCATCTTTTGACTTTTGACTTGTTTCAGATGTTGTTACTAATGATGCCAACTACTTATATGTTCAAATAGATTTTTGAAGGCAACAGTGAAAAGGAGATCCCAGTTCTCAATGAGCTGCCAGTACCTCTAGTGGCACGATACATTCGGATCAACCCTCGGACATGGTATGAAGAAGGAAGCATATGCTTGAGACTGGAAATCCTTGGCTGTCCTCTCCCAGGTCAGAGCTACATTTTAGAATCAGACTGGGTATAACATTTTAGATTTTTTAAAAAATTATTGTTTGCAATGGTGGGATTAATTTTGTGTGACATTTAATTTAGTAATTTTCTTTTGCTGCTTTTAACTATGATGATTGCATAGTTTTAGCTGAATTTGGGCCATGTTGGGTTACCCAAACTTGGGTAACCCAAGTGTTCTTAGACTGCAATTCTCAGAAACCCTGGTGAGCAGAGCTAGTGGGGAAGGCTTTGGGGATTTCCTGTCCAGGAACACCTGGGTTGGAAAGCACTGCCATAAGGGGAGAAAGGCCACACACACACACACACACACACACACACACACACACACAGAGAGAGAGAGAGAGAGAGAGAGAGAGAATGAGAATGAAGTATCTACAGTATAGGAAGGTTCCCAGATACATTCCTATAGGTATAGATACTGAATGAGTTATCACCACTTCTGTGTCTAGCCACAAGCTTTCTGTGTGCCTCCTTTGATTTGGGTAGCACGTTGGAGACATTTTTCATAACACTTAACTAGTCTTCTGTATTATTCTTCAAGATTTAACACCAAAAAATGATGACTGAAAAACAGTCCAGTGCTGTGTTAGTTGTGTAATATTTCCAAATCCCAATGAGAATTCAATGTATTAATAGTCGGGTCAGGGTTAAGGTTTCCTGTACCACTTGTATTTCTTGGCCCAAATGATAAATACAGGCTCCCTACAAGGGAAGGCATCTTGATTTTCCAGAAATGGATCCAACCTACTGACAACCAAAGCTGCAAAGTCATGCTTTCAAAAACAGCACAACCATATTCTGTCTCTATAGGTTGCATTGGCTGGTACAAAAAAGAATCCCAGTGGCAAAAAGCAAAAGTCCTTATTTTTTTGCAGTAGTCACTCCCTCCTCTAATTATCATGCACGGCAAGTGGCTGAAATTTGAAGAAATTGGTTACGAGTCTGTAGATGACAATAGCACAGGACACCGATATTGAAGGTCTGTTTCTGAATAGATTCTGCAACAGAACATGAAGCTGTAAGCTGACATGTCCTGTCTTGGCACATCAGGGTTAATAAAACATCTATATGTAATAGGCCCTGAACGTTATCAGAATGGAACTAAATTTTTAAAAAACTTCTCAATAAATCATTGTGTTAGCTAAATGCAGGCAGTTAATCAACTGAGTGGCTGGGAGAGCCTTCACAATCCTAGCAGTAAAGAGATATCAATATACTTTTGATAGAGCAGAAAGAGAGAAATTCAGCAGGCACTAACAGAGCAGGAAGATAGAAAAGGCCTGTGTGTGCATGTGTGTATCTGTGTACAGTGGTGCCCTGCTTGATGATTACAATGTTTGTATGGGTTTTTTTCGTTTAACAATGATCGGTTCCCTGCTTCAGGAACCGATTTTTCGCTTAACAACGATCAAAAAAGCTGATTGTCGGGTTTTCAAAATGGCCACCCGCTGTGCAAAATGGCTCCCCGCTGTGTTTTAGGATGGATTCCTTGCTATACAGGCACTGGAAAATGGCCGCCCTATGGAGGATCTTTGCTGGACGCTGAAGTATTTCACCCATTGGAATGCATTGAACCGGTTTTCAATGTATTTCAATGGGTTTTTTACTTTCGCTTGACGACGATTTCGTTCTACAGCGATATTGCTGGAACGGATTATCCTTGTCAAGCGAGGCACCACTGTATACAGTTTCTCCCCATGTGATCAAGGGCAGAAGAGAGACTGAAGCACGGAGGCTCAGCCTTGTGAAGGCTAGCTTGCTCACCCCCTCCCTCGGCACTGACAGAATCAGCCTGTGCTCGCCATTTCTGAGCCGGCAGGCAAAGAATCCCTGCTTCGGGAGCTCTGCACCTTGCGGAATAGCCTTTTTTCAGAGAATGGTAATTATTGTTTGTTTTTAGATGCTTCCTGACCTAGCAGATAAGAGGCGAAATTCTAATCTTCTTTGAACAATGGGCTGACTGCTGGATGATCTTGGGAATGTTATGATCTGCCTAAGAGAATCGGGTAACTTAGTTGACCTGTGTAAGGAATGGGAAAATCAGAAGATGGCTGCCTGCCTCTTTGACTGTTACACTTTCTCATTGACACCAAAGGTGGCTACATAGCAATTGTCAGGAATTAGAAGGAAAATGGGACTTGTAGTCAGACAAAGATGGAGTCTGTTAGGTTTTGTATAGTTTGGATTTAAACTGCTAAAATGTTCTAATGAGATTGTTGTTCCATGTTTGCTCTGCCTGGCACCAAGATAAGGAACAAGGTTTGAGGAGAAGACCAAACATCACATTCCTCTTAACTGGGATGAGATAAGACACCTGCAAGATCTCATCTGACACAGAGATGGTGAACTGTGTTATGCCCTCATGATCCTAATTGGTTAACAGCTTGGAAGTGTCAGAAAGAAGGTGGTCCAGAGACATGTAGAAAAATGGTTGTTTCATGTATGTTGATGTGTTCGTGTTGTGGAATGTAAGAAGAGGAGAGGTTTGTCTTTTTGAAAGAGAGGGTAGAGAGATTCGGCCAGCTTCTCTAGAATGCTAAGATGTAGAATGTTGCCAAAATGATAACTTAGTTTAGCTTCTATTATTTTAATCTATGAATAGTAAGCTTATTTGAATCATAGTAACTGCTTGGATAATATTATGCTTAATCGTTTAAAGCTACAACTGTATTTTAATGGAACTACTTCATTTTTTTCATAAAACAATTATTCTTCAACAAAGGGCTTGGGTCTTCATCAGCAGGATTGCACCTATATCCAGTGGAGATTGGAAAGGTTACTAATTGCTATTATCCATAGGGGTCCTACCTAGCTAGTCTGTTGTGCTGTCTAAGGAAGCACTCAGTCAATGGTTGATTGCCTTGTAAGTAGGCAAGAGGTTCTATTTTAGGTTGAGTTTGTTCATAAGGCAAGGACTTTACACTTCTGAGGTTTAAGGACCTGTCTCAAGAGTAAAAGTCATGGTTGCTTGCCCCTACAGTGACTCCTCACCCAATATCATTTTCTCTTTAGGGAGAAGTGATTCTGACAGCAATAATGCCTGATAAACTGGATACATCAGTCCTGGCTCACCTCTTCTTTATCCTCAGTACTTAAATTCTGGACTTGATTGGTTGATTTATTATAATTTGAGTCTACCTAATCACAAACAGTTCCTATTCAGATTACAACAAGCTAAGAGAATGTAACATAGTACAAGTAAATATTATGTTTGGGTTTTTTTTAAAGCTGAAAGAACACATGGAGATGGAAAAAGATGACCATAAAATCTTTTTTTTTTAAACCTGCAAGAAGTGATTGAGAACATTTTGATGACATACATTCTACTGAAAAATATTTGTGCTGATTTTGTCTGGCCATTTGAATTATCAGCAACTGGCACAAAGATCTGCATGCATGGTCCTTGCCTTATGGACCCTGAGTGCCAGGTCTGTTGATTCCACATACTTAATATTTCCTAAAGTAAATTACATTCAATAATGCAAAAGATAAAAGTCCTGTTCTGCTCTAATGAAAAGAAGTCCCCAAACATTTATTGTGTGTCCAGCACAGGAGGACTTCCAGTTTTCCCTTTATCTCAAACTCTTCCTGCTTCTAAATCAAGCAGGATTGACTAACCTTTGCCCTTTTTTTGTGGAATGGCACTGATACGTTTGCTTTCCAAAATTCATTTGATTTAGTTTTCAGGATTTTTTAAAATTTAGGGATAGGTTAGGGATTCATTTGCTTGACAATTTAACATCAGCTCACCTCATTTTGCTGTTCAGTTGAGTATGTGAACTGAAACACTGTTAACTGTAGAAATTTGAACATAATCTAATTTAGGTTGTTTTTAAGCCCAAGAATGCATAAATTTGTGGATAGTTCAGACAAACGTCTGCATTATTTGTGATGGATTCCTTTTTAAAAAAAACTTTATATTAAGTAAATTGTTGTAAAAATAGATCAGGTAAACATGCATTACAGAAATGCAAAAAAGTTTTGAAACCAATTCTCAAATTTGAAAATGGTCAAAGAAATTATTGGTTCTGCATAGAATTATTCTTGTTGATGTACAAGATTGTCTCTTTCTCCATGAGTGGAGAAAAGAGACACTGTGTAAGGGCACAAAAAGACCCCAGCCAAAATACTTTCATTTCAGTTGGAAACAACTTCCCTAGATAAAAACTTTATTGCAGGATTTGTAGTCTATTTGGAAAAAACGTACTGGTGAAGGTAATTCCAAAGTGACTGAGGAGAGGTATTCTAAGTGGCCATAAGAACACTTTTGAAGACAGAAGCATTAAATGTGCTACTGAGGTCAGCAACTTCACCCTATTTTCAAAACAATGATTTAATTAGCAAAATTAATGTTTAAACTGTAACAAGAACACATTTATGTTGTTTCCCATATCTAACAACAATAACTTAATTTTTAGGCTGAAGTTCCAAGCTCTTGAAGAGCCAGTGCACTTCCTCTCCTTACTTGTATGCTGTAGCCATTTGGAAATCCTAAATAGGGTTTGACTGCACCAAACATTCAGTTTAGCTTCACTATCAATAGCAATTTACTTCAGCTGCTACTACCTCTAAATGTAATTGTTTTTCTTGTGCTTTATAACATTGGCACTCCTTTTAAATATTGTGAAGTGTAAAACACTTTGAATGCTTTGACAGATATAAATAGGGGGAATCAATAGCTAAATTAATATGTATTTGGATTTTCATCCTGCTAATGCCCATGGATTCTGATCAAGTCATATATGAGTCCTTTTGTGTGCAGAGTTCACATTAATTGGTTTGGGAGAGGGAAAGGAAACTGACTTGTTTTTGACTCAGCTGTTTTGTATATTGGGAATAAAAGCTAGATGCATAACTTGGGTGAAGGAAATGGGGTTTTGCCATAGGAAACCAAAATTTAGAGTGCTCTAAAACTAAAAGTGAATTTACTGGCAAGTATTAGAAAAATATGCAATTACATTCCTCTTCCTATTCAATTTCTTTTTTTTTTAAGTATAAACTTTATTTTGAGGCACCACATTCATCTCATCATGGGGCTGGCTCACACCCATTAATGAGAGTGGAATGGGTGGAACATGGTGCCAGTTGCATTGCTAGTTATGAATCTGGTAGAAGTTACAGGAGACAGGAAGGAACAGGATAACCAGCTCATTACAATGCCTGGTGAATGCCTGCTTCGTACACCCCATTTAAAAAAAAGTGTTATAAAAATATTTCTCATTGTTCTGCCCACTAGGATTCCCAAATGATGCACCAGGACAACAACAACAAATAAAAGCATTATTCAAAATAATTTAACCAGTTTTAAAGGCTACATAATATATATTTCTTCATACGTTTCCAATGAGTTTTAATGATTTTTTTTCTAAATTATCTTATATAACTCTGACCAATGTGTTTCTTTTGCTATTTCTTTTGAACCACAGACCCAAATAATTATTACCACAGAAGAAATGAAATGACCACAACAGACAACCTTGATTTTAAGCACCACAACTACAAAGAAATGAGGCAGGTAGGAAACAAAGAACTGAATATCGGCTGAGGATATATGTGTAGATTTTGATCTTTGCAACAAGGGATCATTAGCACTGCAATATGACATTCTATAATCACAGAAATGACTTTGTTAAATGCATCCTCATATGGGGACTGCATACATCCACTGATTCATAAAAATCTTAACCTGTTGCATCTGAAATGGGGAGTTATATCAGTGGTGGCTAAAGGGTCTTGAATATTTAGCTCCTAAAGTTCTTTGTTTGATTTTCTTATATTCAGCCACATTAGTTCTCTTTTTTCTCTGTCTCTATAAAAGACTCCTCAATATAGAGCAAGCACAATGAAATTAATGGGACTTAGGTTAAAGAGACAAACTTTACTACCCTCTGGTGTGACTAAGTAAGAATTTAACCCACTGTGTATGCGACAACCGCACCCCCAGCATATGCATCTTCTATTTTTAGTAATAATGTAGATGAGGAAAATAAATCTTTGCTTATCTCACAGGTAGGAATGAAAAATTACTACTAACTAGGCAAAATTATGAGGGGTTTTGTTGCATTTCAGGATTATTTTTTTTACAAAATGTTTTTCAAATGTATCTTTTGTGCAAAGAAAGGCTGTATTTTGTGGAAGAAAATTACATAAAAACATCCTTAGCTATAAGTGCAATATTTCTTCTGCACATTTAGAAAATACAATAGAAAACTATAGATACATGGTTTTGCCACTGCTGCTAATGCTTTTTTTAAAAAAAAATGCAGATCTTTTTGCTATTTTTAGTAGTTGATGGCTTAGCTTGATGTGTCACTGAGGAGGAGAAAGTTGGTGACTATTCTTGCATCCTTAAAATAAAAGAAAGAATTTCAGCTGGTACTATAGTTTATCATGTCACATTGTTGCAGAGATATGAAAAGCAACTGCTGCCACAATTTTCTCCTTTAACACAAATGTCAAAGGTAATCTGAGAGCATAAGAGTAAAATATCACTCTCTGACAAAAGTTCTGATAGAAAAATGACAGCAACAGTATTTTATCCACCAAAATCTGTCCGATTACATGGTTAGAGAAAATACATTTGTGAATTTGTTTGCTAAACTCTTCCTTTTCCTAGGACTTATGCCTGCAACATATTTGTCCTGACATGTTATGTGCTGTAGTGTGGCCTTGGGTAGTGCTGGGCTATTCAAGTCAAATTTACCCATAAGCACCCCCATCTCAGACTTACGTTTTCTTTCTTTCCCACTCTTTATACTCTCTTGAATAATTTAATCTGTACAAATTTTAATGCATCCTGATCTGATCTGCAGCACCGAAGTGTGAGCTTGAACTTAGTCATCAACCAGATTTCACGACTCCCTGATATTCTGATACAGCTTGTGGTTCATTTATAAATTCATACTTTAAAGTGAAAATACGTCTTAAATATGCACCAGATGTCTTTTAAGTTAGAGCATGGACATGTTATTTTGGCAGGAGGATTCCCAGGATCCCCCACCCAGGATGGCCAGTAGTCTGAGAGATGTTTGAGGATGAAACAGAGTCATGGGTAAACAAACACAATGACCTGAACCAGTAGACAGATCTTCCCCTGTTTCTCTGCTTCAGGTGCATTATACTACTGAGCATTTAAAACTGATGTGTGGTGTGGTATGGACTGATGTATGAACTATTTTATATGACCTTTGGAATACTTCCCATCTTACAGTTCTACAGCTGTAATTTTGTCCTGCTCTGGATACAAACAATACTTCAGCCTGAACTGACAGATGTCGTAAGTGGCAACAGAAAGCTCATGCCACACAAATGACGAAGATTCACATGAAGATTAATCCGTGTCTGTCTAAGTTTAGACCTATCAGCTATAATTACATTCCTTTACCTTCCAGCACAGAGCAAAAATGTCTAGATTTATATCACAATGAGTGTAGGTGGGGAGTGTGCTAAAGATATTTCTTTGGTATCTTATTGTTCAACTATGTAAGGATAATATGTTTGGACACGAAGAATGTGAATCATTTTTGACTGTGCTGAATCTTTGGCGTGTCTATACTGAATGAGTCATCATTCATTTTTTATTGAGCAATTGTGTACTGAGTCACATACTGTGCTCACAAGAGATTTCATGGCCTATATTTCCAGCAGACAGAGTAGATGAGTAGAAACTCGATTGGCATAATTAGTGTCAAGAACAATAACGTTAAAAGCATTTTAGATCCTAATTGTGCAAAGACAGGTTGGTCAGGTTTGAGATATATTTGGGGAAGACTAATAGCTGAAAGCAGGAGAAAATGATTTCCTCTGGTCTTATGTAAGGAATTTTAAAAATGCAATTCTACAGTGGCAGTATCTATAACTGGTCAGTGAAGAGCTAAATTCTTGCTTACAGCCCCTCGTACTGTTTGCTTCTTTGATCACTGAGGTATTTGAAAGCATTTTTGAAATTGGGCATTCAGCCAAATTTAGTTGCTGTTTTTTCACTGCCAATACCTCTACACATATCTACCTTCTATGAAATTGGGCATTCAGCCAAATTTAGTTGTTTTTTCACTGTCAATACCTCTACACATATCTACCTTCTTAAAAGTTTCATAAGCAAACTGTAAAGAAATGTCGGTATTGTAGGCATGTAAATCGTTACTTGCCTTGTCCTTGTCCAGGTAAGGTTCAGAATGATCACATTGCTCAGTTTGCTTATGAGAACGAAGATTTCCAATTCTTCTTGAATTGTCCTCATAATGTATGTCCTCATAATGTTTTTGAGCAAAAAAGAACACACAGCAAGATGTACAAATTAACTGTGCAAAATTGGGAGGGCCACTGCTTACATTTAGGTACATTTGAGAACTTGACAGTTCCAGATTTGGTTACTGGGCTCTTTCTCCTAATCAGGCAGCCCTTTTCTCTTCACTGTGTGTAAACATTTCATTTTATGAGGCAAAAGAATTTTCAGCAAAACAAGAAAATCCTAAATGCAAACAACAGCCCTCTTTCTTGTTCTCAGCAGGAGGTGTGGAATCTCCCAAGGCTTTTGGATTGACACCTTGTCTTCCAGATATGCAAACCCTACTTAGGTAGTTTAGGGCTTTGAAAGGTTTTCTTATATGTTTACCTACACCTGAGCTGGAAGCGGGGTGCACTGTCTTGACATAATGCACATTGTGTAGGCCCCTCACACCTTTTCTGTGTGTGTCATGGACACATATGGCCTCTCATAGCTGTTGCATGTATGCCATGAACACAAACGTAAAATTGTAGATGTATAGGCTTGCATGTGATATGGAATCCAACTGAGTATTAACAATGGGCACCCATCTACAAACTTAGTGCTGCTTTGAATTTTAAAGTTCAGATAACTGACTTCAATTTACTTCTTATTTTCATTATGTTATCACACCAGTGTTTGACACAATGATCCTCGTTACCCACTGTTTCCACCATTGCATGCTCACTATGAATATAGTTTTTAAGTCCAAATATTCATTGTAACTACTCTTTCTTTAGCAGATATATTTTCAGATTTTTATAGTTCTACTCCATCGTATTTCCAGAAGGCACTATTGTTGTTATGTGGTATCAAGCTGTTTCTGACTTATAGCGATCTTATGAACTAGTACTCTCCAAAAGGTCCTGTTAACAGCCCTGGTCAGGTCTTGCAAACTTAAGACTGTGAATTCCTGTATTGGGTCAAGCTCATGTTTGGTCTTCCTATTTTCCTGCTGTGTTCAATTTTTCCGAGGGTTACTTTCTTGTCCAGTGAGTTTTGTCTTCTCATAACGTGCCCAAAGTATGATGGTCTCTGTTTACTCATTTTTTTTCTGATACAAAACCAAAGAAATACCTAAATATTTTTAAAATACAAATGTACTATTATCTGTTATTTTTGCTTGTAAAAATGATACTAAGCTTTCTGTGAAGAAAAAAAGGAAATATTTCTTATGTTCCTTATGTTCCAAAAGCTGCAAGATATAAAGTAGTTAATGTGGAATGTTGACTCCTCGTCACTACCCTCAACACACACTATATTTGTGCTTATGTTTGCAGAAACAGAGCTGCCTCTGCTAATATGCAGTCACAGCTATTAACAACCAAAGGGATTATAAATCATGGCCAGAGTAAATTTGCTAATAGACAATTATTATGAGTTCTGTGAAGCAATTATTTCTTCTATTAATATTCTGGCAAAAAAAACCTGCATAAATTCCCCGCAATAGCCTATTAGGTATGGTCTCAATTCACACAGTGCCTAAGACTGCAGAGGGGTTTTGAGGGCAAATCTAAATCCATTCCAGTTTTTCAAGAGACTGTAGTGGTGCAGGGCCAATTTATGATGCCTTCTTTCTCAGGTTATTGATTTAAATTCCCTACTAGTCATCTTTTCATGTTAATTTGTTGTTGTTTTTTTAAAGCCCTGATATTATTTGACAGGGATGTGGGTGGTGCTGCAGGTGAAACCACTGAGCCACTGGGTTGAAAGGTCAGCAGTTTGAATCCAAATGATGGGTTGAGCTCCCGTTGCTTGTCCAAGCTCCTGTCAACCTAGCAGTTTGAAAGCAAGTAAATTCGAGTAAGATGAATAGGTACCAACTCAGTGGGAAGGTAACAGTGTTCCGTGTCTAGTCATGCCAGCCATGTGACCATGGAAAATGTGTATGGACAAACACCAGCTCTTCAGCTTGCCAATGGGGATGAGGACCGCCCCCTAGATTCAGACACAACTGGTCTTAATTGTCAAGGGGAACCGTTATCTTTACTTTTGTTGTTTGGTACTGAAACATCTGAGTTCAATTTGCAGATTATTTCAAAACACTTCCTCTTCCCTTGTTTACTATTTAATCAAATTATATCCGACCTTTCTCCTTTGCAGGACCTGAGGCAGCTTACAACACAAACTTTTAAAAAATGTAAAAAAAACCCTACAAAGCCAACCAAAATTGGCAGAATTAAGACACTGTTAAATAAATGAAACAAGCATAAATCAATATTGCTTTTAAACCATTTTTTAAAGGAAGAAGAGAAAAATGTATAACACCTCATTCTTAAATGGTTCTTTCTCATTAGCCAATTAGTGGCCTGCTTAAATAAAAATATATTTGCCTGCTATCAGCACAGCAGGGAGGGTCCAGCAGGCCTCCACCAGAAGGCAGTGGCATATACTGGGAGCAGCCACTGAGAAGGCCCTCCCTCATCAAATAGTGTTGTGAGAGTGGTGGGACAGGAAGAAAGGTATCTCCTAATGATTTTGACCTTGGCATAGAAGAAGACATCATTTATTAGACAGCCTGAACCCAGCTGTATAGAACTTTATAGGACATATCCAGAACTCTGAATTGTCCCCAGAAGCAGACTGTTAGCAAGAAAGCTATTGTAACTAGCTCTGTCAACAAGCCGACCCATTCTGAACATTTTCCAAGGCAATCTGCTGTAGTAATCCAAAAGGAGATGATTAAGGCATGTGTCTCCAAGGCCAGGTCAGATTTCTCCAAGGGAAGGCACAGCTGTCACAGCAGATCATTCCATGGCAGATGATGACATTCTTGGAATTATCACTTTGGATAAGGGGGAAATGCTTCTCTTCCTTGGATTTTTTTTTTGTCTCCATGTGGATAGATATACTTTCTGATTTACATTATTTCCTAGAAATGTCACTCTGAACATGACAGGCCTTCTTAAAAAACATCACAAAAGAGTGGATTGCACAAATGCCTCTTTCCAATGACAAAGATGAAACAAGAAAAGATGCTGTGTTCAAGAAAACCATGTAGACTTGCTTATGTCCAAATGATAAGGGAAACAGGGGTTGTAATTTCAGGACTGGTCTGATAATACAAATATGGGGCAGATAAAAAATAGAAAATGGACACTGGGCTGAAGGGCCAGTGTTGGTCACATTCAGGCGTTGGTCACCTCTCAAAGCCAATCATTCTGCACACACCAAGCCTTTGTCCCTCAGAATGGTTTTGTTCTTCTTGCTGTCATTTGTGTCATTGAACTAATTGAGAATTGACAGGAGAGGGAGAAACAGTCTTCTTCACTTACCTTGCTTTCTCTCATTTTGGGAAGCTGGGGGACACAGGTTTCTATATGTATATTGCTTCTCCCACACTGGCTGGGAGATTCTAGTGTTCCAGAAAAGGTACTCTACTAAGTTCCAAATACAGTGGACCCTTGACTTACAGACGGCTTGACTTACAGACTTTTTGAGTTACAGACTTGTCTGGCCGCAAAATTTAGGTTTGACTTGCAGACTGAGATTTGACTTACAGACCAGAAAAAAACCAAAATGGAACAAAAACGGCCTGTTACGGGTTTAATTGGTTTTCAATCCACTGTAGGTCAATGGAGACTTGACTTACAGACTTTTTGACTTGAGAACCGCCTTCCAATACGGATTAAGTTCTCAAGTCAAGACCCCACTGTAAATAACTGCTGCATTTGAAGACTTCTGGAGTCTGCTATAATTCCTGTGTTAAGAGGTTTCGAAGGGAGAAGCCCTGTGCATTGGTGGTGATATGAAATGATGGCTGCACTGAAGCCATCATGTCCAGCCTGTTGTATGCTGGATTTAGCACCAAGGATCTGTGGGGTTGCCTCTCTGTTCTGTGAGTGCCACTAGACTCTTCACTTTGTTCAGTGACACACAATTAGTATCTCTGTTCTGTGAGTGCCACTAGACTCTTTACTTTGTCCATAGACTCTTTACTTTGTTCAGTGACACAATTAGTCCTGATTCAGTTTGTCTTAGGGTGCACACTCAAATATAGTGCACATCCCTAATCTTAGCTATGTTTACTTTCCTCATGTATGCAGTAAGGATACAGAACATGGTGTCGTGGGATGAAGCAAGGCTTCATTTATGTTTCAATCTGTTATTGTATATGAATCTTTCTTTCTTTTTTGCAGCTGATGAAAGTGGTGAATGAAATGTGTCCAAATATCACAAGGATTTATAATATCGGGAAAAGTTACCAAGGGCTAAAGCTCTATGCTGTCGAAATATCGGACAACCCTGGAGAACACGAAGTTGGTTAGAATTATATTCTGATAAACTAAGGACCCATCTGGGGTGAAGTTAATCACATATTTTTAACATTCTACTTGTCTAGAGGAATTCATAGTCAAGGCATATGCCTACAGTAGTCATGATGCTGAATATGTGTGAGAGGAATTCTGATGATATTTTTTCTAATCAGAGAAACAGAATATTAGTATGAATAGATGCCATCCAAAGAGTGGGTTTCAGTTACTTGATGCTAAGCAGGTATTCCTCTTTAGCAAATACTAAAAAAGGGAACAAACTTTAATATTGAAAAATATTCAGTAGCTACTAGTAATAGACTTGTTGCTGAAGATTAAATAATCTAGAGAACAGATAACAAGATGTAGAAGACAGTTCTACTCATTATTCTAGTGTATTAGGGAATCTTCTTTATATTTCTGTCAAACAAAGGTTTACTCCCATTGCAAATAGCATGCATTGGGTGAAGGACTGGGATCAAAACTTTGATGTGGAAAAAAAAAAGGTAAAACACATCAGAAATACCTCTTCCTACAGCATCTTCCCAAGCCATCTTGAACTAATGACATAAATAATGCCACGTCTTGTTTGGTTGCAGGCACACAGACATGCCAAGAATCTGAAAAGCATTATCAGTACCTATGTTTGACTCTTGGGTAGAAATTAGTGCAGTTCTTCCTTAGAATCATGGAAGTAACACATGATTCCACTTGCCTGGAAGCTATATTGTTTAGGCAATATGTATATAGTATGGAATTGAATATTGTGGCAGATTTCATTTTCACCACTGCCCTGGAACTAAATGGCTTTTAGTGGCAGAGTGATAGACCCAAGCCCCATATTTGTCAGTTCATGGGAGAAGATACTTGGGACAGTATATTGTATGATTTACTATGTGTAAAGGCCATACAAATGGCTTTCTTCTACCTTTGGTTGCCCACTTCTGTCACATGGTATGGATAACCCACTGGATTCAGTACCATCTTGCTTCAGTACCAGAATAAATTATTCCCATTGCCTCTTTTGTATGCACTTTTCAATGTGCTTGTTTGATCACATTCTTCTTTGTTTTTAAATAGGTGAGCCGGAATTTCGGTACATGGCAGGGGCTCATGGGAATGAAGTGCTTGGACGTGAGCTACTGCTTTTATTGATGCAGTTTATGTGCCAGGAATATTTGGCTGGAAATCCACGCATTGTACGCCTTGTTGAAGATACCCGAATACATCTGCTTCCTTCTGTCAACCCAGATGGATATGAGAAGGCCTATGAAGTGGTAAGGAGGGTTGCCATTTTGCCACAACACAACAGTCAGTGATTTTAGTTCAAATTCAAATTTGTAATGCAGCCTCGTGGCGCAATCTGCTGTACTGCAGCGAAAACTGTGCTCACAACCCCAGGTAGCTGGCTCCAGGTTGACTCAGCCTTCTATCCTTCTGAGGTGAGTAAAATGAGTACCTAGGTAACTCATGGGGGGTGCAATGTGTAGCCTGCACAGTTAACTTGTAAATTGCCCAGGGAGTGCTTTAAGTGCTATGGGGCGGTATATAAGCAGCATGCTTTCCTTTTTTGCTTTTTTTTTTTTGTTTGTTTGAAATACAACAAAATTAATTCTTCTGTTTGAGGTCAAGGACAGGAACCAGTAAAGACTTATGATCCTGGCAGTCACAGTGTCTGGGTTGGTTAAAGGCCAGTCAAATATTGTGAGCTGCTTTGCCTGAAATTATAACTTAAGAAGTACAAGTTCCTCTGCACCACCTGTCAGTACCTCGTAGCTTGTTGGGAATGCAAGGGGAGAATATAAGTTCCAAATGGATTCATAGGATGAATTAAAATTCCTAAATTAGGTTCATTGTCAAAATGAGCATGGCAAAAAAAACAAAACAAAAAATACAGGGTTGTCTCATGGACTTCTCTCACAAAGCTTCAATACAAATTGTCTGGCAAAGTTTTGTGTAGTGTGTGAATATGTACAAGAGAAAGAATGTAGGATCAATTGGAGATGTGAAGAGTTTGGGGGAAAGCCTTATTTCTTTATTGTGAACAGCTACCTGTATCTCCTTACACAATGCAGGATATATGGATATTGTTCAGTAGTTTTCTTCAGTAGTCTTTAAAAACAAAACAAACCCTAAACTAAACTATGCACATCCTCCTAGTACTCATTTATCAATAGTTTCAGCAGGTCTGTGTTTTAATTGCTCTATGAAGTAGTGTCAGCTTTTATATTTACTGTATGCCTATGTTAACTATCTGTGACACAATATGAGATAAAGAAAGCATTTCTCTTATATTCTTGTTTATACTCAGCCTATTTTCATAGTAGTGGCTGCTCCAGTCCCTCACTAATGACACATCTGCCAAAGTCTACTAGAAGAAATAACAATAAGAAATCATTTGCTTGCACTAGGAATGGAGAAGTTCTGGAGTTTGAGGAACCAAAATTCCATCTCTGGAACTCATCGCCAGGACTCATGGCAAGCAGCAGCACCACCCTGACAATACAATGCACCTGGGGGCAAAAAAAAAACCTTTGTAAAGTGCAAGCCGTGAGGTTTACACTGAAACCACAGCTCCAGGAGGCTTCCAGAAGTTAAAAAAAAAAAAAAAAAAACCTTTGTAAAATGCAAGCCGTGAGGTTTACACTGAAACCACAGCTCCAGGAGGCTTCCAGAAGTAAAAAAAAATGAGAGATATTTTTTTAAAAAATAAGACCTGGGGGGGTCAAAACAGCCACTGAAAACTCTGGCATTAGAGCAGTCTGATTCTCTGTCAACTCAGCATATGAGCAGTGATACGAAGCAAATGTTTTTGAACTGCATTCCACTGATTTTACACCATCTCGACCGGTAATAATAGAAGCCCCTACATAAGATAATAATGACAAATGGTAACAAGGGCAGAAAGAGCAAGGAAAAGGATGCAGGAGGAAAGGATAACAGATTAATGTGGATGAATGCAGTTTAAACTTTTATGTTTAATCAGGAATAAATTTGGACATTAAGATTCATTTATATAAATATCGGTGACGTAAGGGAATCATTCATGTTAATGGTAGTGATTAAGTGGATCAGTGTGCCTTTGTTGGGATCTTTCCAACCATTTCTCTTTTAGTCGTCTTCTCCTACTGCATAATTTTATTCACCTTTATATATAGCTGAATTTTCTTCCAAAGGATGAAGAAAAACACTGTCTTAGTAACAAATATTTTCTGAGTTTTCTCTGAAAATTCATACTCATCACCAAAGGTTAGCATTCAAAGACGACGCAGAAAAAGTCAACCTCTGGCAAATTCTAATATAATGGGCAATATCCTGCTGCCAAATATGGGGTGCAACTAACTACTACATGGGCATAATTGCCCAGCGCACTCTGCTCATCTCTAGCTCATGGTTGCATGATCCAGAGATTGTTGTGTTGCATGAGCCGTGGGTCCTTCTGCTTGCAAAGTGTTAATGTATTCCTCCTTGCTCAAGTGGTTAAAGTAGTGAAACTGTGTATGCAATAAATCCTTCCATGCAGGTTGCAGAACAAAAAAACCCAGTGGATTTAGCAGTACCTCAAAGTGAGCATTAAATATATTTTACTGTAGCTGCATAGACTACATATAGCTATAGTGACTTCATATTCAGATATTCTTAAATGTGCTTACTCGTGTGAGGAGGGGAATGCGGCAACTGACCCCTTCCACTACTACCTTGTTCACGTGTAAAGTGATGGAACAGGAGAGGGTCTTTTTGTGTGTTCAGGCTCTCCATGCAAGCCAAACACAGGAGGATTAGGAGTCTGGTTCCTGTGGAGAATCTTCACAGATAAATGAGAGGAATCTTGAGAGACATTGCTTCATGTGTGAATAAAGAAATGGTGAAAGGAGGTGGGACTAGAGTAGGCTGCTTCCCATGCTGTATATTGAGTAAACACTCTTAATGATAAGAATGTGAAGTATACTAGGAAAAGTCTCATTCTTAACAGTTTTCCAACTTTCACCATGCCAAAATTACTCACCAGGACTTCTCAGTGCATAATCAGATTTTCTGGGATTGCGGCAAAATTGGATTTCCATTTATTACATATTTTTAACCTGTCTTCCTTATGTAAGAAACTGCCAACTTCTCCACATCTCAGTGCTCTTTCTAGGGAATGCAGTGCAGGAAGGATTTCATTTAGCACAGGAATTATAATGCTGTGCAAACTGGTGTTTCTGCCAGCCAAGAAATGACCATAAAACCTCCAAGAAATCATGCAGGATTTCTTTTAAAAAAAATCTTGTGTAGCTTTACAGTTCTTACTGTGAGAAAGAAAGAAGGTCCCTTCCCCACCCCCTCAGCCTCTCAGTAAGAGCAAGAGGCTTTAACATTCACACCCCTACTTAGACATGTCTGAATAGGTTTAAAGTGCTGGTGGCATACCACAGCAACTGTATTTGACAGCTTCTAAGTCTAAGACACAATAAGCTGGCTGGATAGCTCAGTGATTAAGTATCTGGCTGTGTAGCCAGGAGTTGAGAGGTTGGTTCCCCATTGCACCTCCAGCAAGAAGAGCTAGCTTGTGTGGCCTTGGGCAAGCTACACAGACCCAGGGCATCCCCAGAAGAAGGGAATGGTAAACCACTTCTGAGTATTCTCTACCTGAGAAACTCTGAGAAGGGTCGCCATATGTCAGAACTGACTTGATGGTACTACATCATCATCATCATCATCATCATCATCATCATCATCATCATCATCATCATCATCATCATCATCATCATCATCATCATCATCATCATTATTATTATTATTATTATTATTATTATTATTATTATTATTATTATTATTATTATTATTATTATTATTATTTACCCCAATGTTTTTATAATTTTGACTGTGCCTGGTGTTTTTTAATCATAATCATAATCATAATCATAATCATAATCATAACAAAGAAGACAGAAGAGCTGTTAGATATCTGTTAGTCAAATGCAGTGAATCAGAATGTGCAATTTTCACACCTAATTTTAATTCCAAATTTCTAATGTCATATTTTGAGGTAAGGCTTTGATAGCAAAATCCAGATTTCACAATGTAAGTATTCTGGTTTTGTTTCAGTGCTAATTCCACATTGCTGTTACTGACCTGGCTTGCCTTTCTTCCAGTAATTCACTTACCCCTAATTCACTTGCCATCGTAATCAACACACCAATATTTCTTTAAAGCCAAATTGCTTCAGAGGCACTTTGTGCAATTTAAAAGAGTGACCAGGAGAAATAGGAAAGAAGCTTCTCATAAATGTTTGCTGTTAAGTTATATTGAATTTATTTCTTTTACACTGTAATTAACTTAATAGCTGAAGGTGTACAGTATATAAACAACCATGGTTTATTTCGTTGGGGCATCTTTTTCCTTTCCTTTTAGTTCAGTTACATTGTTTCATTCTAAATGGTAATGGCAGAATAGTATTCACTTTTACTTTTTTTATCCTTATTCAATTAACAACCTCCAGTCATAGACTACAGTAGGCAAACATGAGTGGAAATATATTTTTCACTAGTGGTGAATTTTGGATATTAAATATTCCTACTACATCTTGTGGCCCCCCAATAGCTTCTCCAAGACAAAAGGGATCCCCAGGGAGTTTTGCAACCTTTGGGTGTTGTTCAGAAATGTTTAAATTCCAGAAAATCACAACTCATGACATCAGCAGCCTTACAAGGCACAAAATTGTGCAACAGGATTTCAGATGGTGTGTGCCAAGTATATTAAACAGCTGTTTAAAATTAATAGACCAGAAGAATTTCTACAGAAAAACAGAAGTTATGCAAAAATATAGAAATCTGAAAGGCAGTATGTTAAAAAAACAGTGAAGCTTCTGGACTTTCTGATTATTTTGCAGAAAGATTAAACATACAGAAGAAGATGGCATAGTTGTTTTAGTGAATCTTTTCCAACTATGGAAGAGGAATAAATCTGAAAATGGGGCTAATACTATTCTCTGTATAAAGCCCCTTTAACACTTTGCTAAAAGCGTTAACTTTTAGCAACCACAAAATAGTGACCAGAATCTTATTGTCTGGCCACCATTTTGCATAAGGAAAATTGTGTAGGTCTTGGCAGCAGGTTGCTACTCAATTAGTGACATTCTGGTTTGTTCCTGAGTGTGCACCCAATTGTGTGATTGGCAAATGGCCAGGAACAGCACCAGCATCTTGGTAATTACTGGCAATTTGCTGGCAAAACTTAACACAATTTCCTTTTTGCAAGCATACATTGATAGTAGGATTCTGGCCAACACATTTAATCATTCATTTACACAAGGCTTTCTTCCAAATAATACCCATGCAGAATTTACAAGCAATGTGAAAAGGAGTCAGAAGACATGCAGTTTAGATTCAGATGATGTTTTGGAAGTACTGTAAGGAAGTACAGTTTTGCTCTTGTGTGTGTTGAGACAAGATGCCATGACATGAATATACTTGCTTTACTATGAAAAAGCGTTCTGGCAGAGTCCAGCATGGAACATTGATGGACCTATTTTTAAATAAAGACCTTGATTCAAGAGATATTTGTATAATTAACAAGCCTTATTTATGGCAACCAAAATCTCCAGTGAATGTTAGAAAACATAGAGATTTATTTGAAGAGTTATATGAAGAGTTCCACAAAGTGATATAGTCTTGCCACTGCTATTCAGTTTGTACTTTGACAACATCTTTAGAGAAACATCTACTTCTTCAAATGACAACATCATCATTGATAAAGAGGAAGTAAGCCTTATTGGTTAAAAAACCTTTGCCACTAAATTGACACAATGTAATGTTATGGTTTAGAGCTGCCACTGCTAAACTCAGAATAGTCATGATGATGTCAAGCTTCCATCAGAAGAGAGAGGCAAAAAGAAGAAAAATAATGTGTTGTTCATGCATTACATTTCATTTAAAAAACAACCAAAAGTATATTTTAATGAATGTGTTTAAAATCCAGTAGTGTCAAAAGTAGAGTGGGCCCACTGAGTTACCACTAACTTTGGTGGCATACCTCCTTTGTGTCATTGATTCAGTAGGCATACTCTAGTTGTGAATTACTACTGGATTTCAGCTAAGGTCTCCAAATTCCACTGAAACAGTGTTTTAAAAGTACAGTAAAAGTAAACATCATTGACCACACACACAAGTAATGATATTATTTGTTTCATTAATTTGCAAAAATAAGATGCCTATGTATCTTTATCTCAAAAAGTAGTATAGGTAATGTTAAACAGACAGGAAATGTGAACCTGGGCATGATGGTGATGGCTGGCCCAAACTCCCAGGATGATTTTATGCATGTCTCCAGTTTGAAACATTATAGAAAAGACATGTAATGAG